AAAGAACCTGAAATCCCATACACAAGTATTTCAGATAAAGAATAATCAGCTTACCAGCAATTCTTATTACTTATTAGAGGCAATAAGTACTACTGACACGAGAGATTCCTTTTGAGGATTACATAAAATAATGTATGTGAAACACATAGCTAATCGTTCCTTCTGCATCTTTTTTTTTCCCTTTTCTATGTCACAGTTTTGCTCAGTGGTGGATTTACTTCTAATCTGTTAGGAGCTAGGAAATCAAAGTTACAGGAAAAGTAAGATTTTTTTTCATTAGAGAGGATAATGGTTTGATATTATTCAAACCCCAGTTTATATGCTATGTGAAGAGTTCATATAACCTTTCCAGGCTTGAACATTTAATCCTGGTTTTAGAGACATCATGACGTTGGCGAAAAAAATGTGCCTAATTCTACTCTGACATTTCCCACAATGGTGCTTTCAAATGTTTCCCAACAAATATAGCCTCTAATCTGCCCTTTCCTAGAACTTCATTTGCTTCATGGGAAACCACAAGATTAAAGCCATGTGGGAGTGTGTTCCCAGATTCCCACAGTGTCACTTCCCAGTCATGTGTTGACTAGTTGCTTTTCTTTCACTTTGTACTAATCCTTTGAATCCCTTTCAGCCTCTCCTTCCTAGCTTATTAGAAAAAATATATTGTATTGATTTTTTACAGATCCAACAGACCAAGTACAGTGCTATAGTTTCACTCAACAAATTTGGTGAATACACAGGATTTGATTTGGAGGTTGAAGCCAATGTAATAACATTTTTCAAGTCTGAGTGGGAGAATTAGAATATGCATGTAAAACTGTATGGTTTTTGCTGACTTTTAAACAAGTTCTAGAGAATCAAAGAGAAGTCTAGAGTTTAGCCCTAATACTACTTTAGAAGGAGAATAAAGGAGCATTGAGATATGGCATAGTGCTAGAATACCTGCCTAAGAGGGAGGGCGGGAAAATAAAAAGTTTCTGCACAACTAAAGACATAGCAATAAAACTAGAAAGACAGCCAACTAATTGGGGAAAATATTTACCAGCAATATATCAGACAAAAGCCTAATAACCATTATATACAGGGAACTCAAGAAACTAATCCCTACCAAACCTACCAAACCAATTATTAAATGGGCAAGGGAACTAAAGAGGCACTTCTCAGAAGAAGAGATTCACATGGCCTAGAAACACAAGAAATCTTCATCACACCTCGCTGTAAAGTAAATACAAATATAAACAACCCTGAGATACCACCTTACTCTAGTCAGAATGGCCCATATCCTAAATTTAGTGCACGGCAATGTTGTAGGGGATGCGGAGAGGTACCCTACTGCACTGCTGGTGGGAATGTACACCTATACTTCAGAAAGCAGTCTGGAGGTACCTCAGAAAGCTAAATATAGATCTCCCTTATGACCCAGACATACCACTCCTAGGCATCTACCCTAGGCACCCCCATGTTCACTGCAGCACTATTCATAATAACCAAGATATGGACACCACCCAGATGTCCCACTACAGATGAATGGATCCAAAAATTTGGTATACCTATATACAATGGAATATTATGCAGCCATTAGAAAGGACAAAATAATGGCATTCACAGGAAATGGATGGAACTAGAAAAAAATCATTCTGAAGTAAGCCAAGAGCAAAGAGAGAAATAGCACATGGTCTCCCTGATATGTGGATGTTAAATCCAAAATATAAGGAGATACAATAAAGTAAACAGACTCGAGAAACAAAGGACCTCCACTCATCTTGTCGTATTACTACTAAATGACCCCATGTTGTTGACCACATATATGATATATGATATATATATATATATATATATATATATATATATATATATATGTGCACACATCTGAGTGAAGCTTGGAGGAGGACACAGAATCAGAGGGAAACGGGAAAACAAAACAGAGGGCCCATCAGCTGCACTCGACATCAATGAAAATGAACTAAGCAACTCAAGGGCAGTGATGGGAGGGAGGGAATGAGGGAAGGAGGGAACAGCTAACACTAAGCAAAAGGAAAGAAATGTACATACCACCCACTGTGGAAGAAATAGTTGTATTGTCAAAGCTCATGGAATTCACAAATTTTATAGACCACGATAATAATAATTTGCTTCATGAAGGTTAGAATGTTTGTGATTTTAACTAAGTATCACTATCTCACAATACTGTGAAATTTATGTAATCATTTAATCACAATAAAAATTATTTTAAAAAAGAGGGAGGGAGGGAGGGATGGAGAGGGGAAGAGGGAGGTATAAAGAAACTGACCTCTTCTGTTATTCCATTTTTAATTATAATAACAAAGTATCTAGGGTTAATAGTTTATCCAAAAAAGAGTTTTATTTAGCTGGTTTAGAGGCTGAAGGTGTAAGATGGATTAGTCCCTTTGGTTGAATTTGTAGGGAGGGTCTTCTTGGCTCATGACATGAGGTGAATGTCTGAGCATAGGAGAGAACACATGGTAAGACACAGAGCCAGAGAAGGATTCAGGGGTCAGGCTTACTGTTTCATAAAAACTCACTTTTAAAAGAACTAATCAGGGGCCCATTAGAACTAAAGGCAGTGGCCCCAGGGCCCTGACTAGCTCTTTTCCATTAGCTCTACTTCTGAAGTTTATACCATTGCACCAAAGACTAAGCCTCTAACACATGAATCCAGGGGGCCAAAACACATCCAACACATAGCATCACTTCAATATCTGATAGATGAAGGCACCTGGACAGGTAGGCCAAGGCTCCGGAGTGTGACCTCTCATCCTCATATTCATCTCTCTTCCTTCCTTTAGAGACTCCAATGTATCATTCTCTGTTTACTCCCCTGCTTTTACTTCTGCATTTGCTTCTGCTTCTCCTTGTCAGTGTGTTACACAATCTACATTTTCTGAAAAGAAATAATGTGATTAGGCCATTTATGAGTTAATACCTAGGACATTTCATACCTGAATACTGCCAAGTTGGCAGTAGGAACCATAATGACCTCTTCAAGATCTGATTGTTGACCGCAGTCTAAATAGTGTGTCCAAAGTACACGAGACACTAATGCTGGCAACCAGTGTTGAAATAACTGTTTCTGGCTTCTGGAAGGAACTGCTAGGTAGTCAGGATTCTACCATTGTCATCCACACCTGGTTTTCTTTGAAATCTTAAGGTGGAATGCAGCTAAGTTAGCCAGGTTGAGGTTTAGTGAGTAAAAACATAGAATGTTAAATTTGAATTTCAAATATATAACAAATAATAGTGGACATACTTTTGTGCCATGATGTTGTGAATTGTGCTGACAGTTCTTGTACTCCAGGCATAGTATCAATTTTTCATAGCAGGATAAACAGACTTAGAAATAGCTTAGATGTTGAGAAAATATGAAAATGTGGAGTAGGAAAGATTAACTATAAAGGTAGAGTTTGGGACAAATTTCTAGGAGAAAGTGGTATTTAATCTGGGTCTTGTAAGGAAGGGTAGGTAGAACTTAGCATAGAAATATGAAATACTTCTCTTTCTTTCTTTTCTTAGTGGTGGGGCCTGAAATCCTTCAGCTCTTCAGCTCAAAGCTAGTGCTCTACCACTTGAGAAACAGTACCATTTCCAGCTTTTTCTGCTTATGTGGGCCTCTTGCATGCAAGGCAAGCACTCTACCACTGAGCCACCTTCCCAGTCCCTCCCCCCACTTTTTTTTTTTAAGTTAAAAGGAACATTCTAAATAAAAGTATCAATGGGATGAATGTAAGGGATACAATAATTCAAGCTGGTATGAATGGAACTATGTTAATGAGGGAGTTTGACCAGGGAGTTGAGTATAGATGGCTTTTCATTATAGGTGGAAGATTTATGATTATCACAAAGAATTTGGACAGAAACCAAAAGCAGGTCTGTGTTTTAGGGGATAATAACTAGAAAGGTCAACGCTGAAAGGCCGGGAGACCATTTTAGGAGTCCAGGACTGTCTAAGGATTGTCTTGCAAGAGGGAAAGGACACATGGAACTGGTTTTGGTTAAAATGTTATTTATCAAGTCAGTGATCAAGGCAAATCACCATAACCTGAGTTTCATTATATTTTCTGTGAACAGTTAGACTTATAAGTTGGGAGAGAAAAGTAACCCTGTGCAAACATACCTCGTGGGAGGTTATTCCTCAAGAAAAAGATACATACACACACACACACACACACACACACACACACAGTATCTTCCTTATTCCTCATTGGTAAAGGCTGTGGGCCTTTAATTTTTATCTTTGTCCTTCCCTTTAACCAGGCTGTTCTGCAGTCACTGGTTTTGCTTGTTGAGTTTTCTCAACTGGGCGCCTCACCAGGACTTCTGAAAACAGCTCCGGGTACCTTTATCTCTGCCTCTGGGAGTCTTTGTGTTCATTAGGCCCTCAAAAAGACTTATGAACTAAAGTAGACATGGGGGGGGACAGGGGTGGGTGCTGCGATCGGGCTGGGGGCAGCGCAGCCCGCAGGTGCCCACTGGCCAGCCCAGGGCCGAGTCATGCCGAAGAGGCAGAGGCGTCCCACCCTCCCCTGCACCCTGCGCCCTGCGTGAGCCGCGGGACCGTGAGTCTACAGGACTCACTTCCAACTCAGACACAAAATCCCCCTCCTCCAGGCCTCTAGGGCTCGTTCTCGGGAAGTCCTAACTTCTTCCCTGCTTCTTTGGCCCTTCTTCCTGCTCGGATGAGTAAACAGCGCGGGTTTTCCAGAAGCGGGCCGGATGGATGGGGACAGGGAGGCGGAGGCAGAGCTGGGCGGTGCGCGTGGGTTGTGGGGTGGCGAGGGGGTGGGGACTCCACGAACTTTGTAATTCTGCCTCGGGAACCCGCGGTGACAGTACCGTGGGCGCTTTGAGCAGCCATCTCAGACGAGGAGGAGAACTGCTGCAGAATCGCCGCCCGCCCCTTCTCCCCACCGCGCGCGTAGATTACAAAAACCTCCCCAAGCTGCCCACCGCCCGGGACCGAACGACACGTGTCCTGGGGCCCGATGGAGCTGCTCAGCCTCCCGGGCCTGGTCCTCGCTGCGGCCCTGCTGCTCCTCGTCCTGTGTTTGCGCACCCGGCGCACCAGGTAAGCGCGCCCAGGCTGCCCTGCCCGGGCCACGCATGCGCCTGGGTCCCCTGCGCCACCCAGATGGAAAGCCAGCCCGGCCCCCTCCAGGGTTGGCAGCTCAGACATAACTCTCGCTCCAGGCCACTGGCATCTTTTGGGAGCTTGTGGAATCACAAAGGCGACTCCCCTACACTTAGGTATTCATATTAAAGGTTTGGGGCCCAGTTGGATTTGGAGCTTAAGCACAGGTTGTAAAATCCCCCAGGTTGGCCCTAGACATTATTCATCACGCCTGTGGCTTTTGCATGCTATTGTGTATCCTGTTGCTGCTGCGTGTGTCCATGCTTTATGGCCTAGAATTCATGGAACCCTGTAGGAGAGGAATTTGCTTACATTTCATTCAGTTAAAAGATTTCCAGGAAATCTGATGCAGGATATAAAAACAACTCAGGGTTCTACCTTATGCCTCAGTTTACCTGACTGGACTTCATCTCAAAAAAGAAATGAAATAACAGAACTTTCACGTTGTGGAAATTTTGTGAGAAGTAAATGGGGTAATAGTCTCTGTTTATGCCCATGGCCTATTGTTTTTTTTTTTTTTTAACCTAGCAATTCATTAAAATTCAGAAGTGTCACTATTTGTCTAATTTGAAGCTTGGAAGTGGAATTCAAATACAATCATTCATTTTTAAGTGTTTTTCTTTCCGTCCTTTAGTTTTTATCACTTTTAAAAACTAAACAGATACATTTTTAGTAGATAGCAATCATTAATTTATATTCACAGTACATATACATATCAGCACATATGCATGTGTGATATGGGTTGTTTCTCATTGATTTGGGAGACAGTGGAACTATTGTGCTTCATACAAATATCTGTCAACATTCTCTTAAATTCGCGCTGTTGAATAGGATAAGGGTATTGCATTTCCTCCCATATGAGTTTTCAGATCTTTCTAGAATGTGCAGCAAGCTCTCTCAGGTTGTATTCTCCAGGAGTTGTGATTTTGTTTGAGCCACCAAGATGATTAGGAAATGAGGGTTATATGATTCTACCTTCTCTATTTTCAGTGTCAGTTAAAGCTAGTTAAGATATATTCCTAATGGAAAGACTTGGAAACAATTATGTTAAGTGAAGTGAGTCAGGCCCAGAGAGACAAAGCACACATGTTTTCCCATACATGTGGAAGCTAGATTTAGCTCACAAATTTATTATTAAATATGTTGGAAGATTCACAAGTATATGCAGAAGTATTAACTGAAATGTGATATAAATAAGTTCAAGGGAGAACTTGGTGTTTTTGCTTTTTCATCTCTTTCTTTCCCTCACCTCTTCTCGCTTTTCTTTCTCTTTCTCTCCCTTCCTTCCTCCCTCCCTCCCTCCCTTCCTTCCTACCTTCCTTCCTTCCCTCTCTTCCTTCCTCCTTCCCTCTCTTCCTTCCTCTCCCCCTCCCTCCCTTCCTCCCTCCCTCCCTCCCTCCCTCCCTCCCTTCGTTCCTTCCTTCCTTCCTTGGAATTGAGGTGTTGGGAGCAATGTCAGGCAAACCTTGTACTACTAATGCCATGTTGTGAATGTTTATATCCTCATGCTATCCCCATCAATTCAAATGTTGAAATCTTATCCTCAAAAGTGATCATGTTAGTTTTATTATGTGAAGACCTGGTATGTAGATTGCCATCTATGAACCAGATAACAACCTTCACTGAACTCTGAATCTACTGATGCCTTAATCTGGACTTTTTTTCTGACTTTCAAAATGGAGAGATATTTTTTTCTTTCTTATAAGCCACCTAGTTTGTGCTATTTTGTTATAGTAGCTCATACACACTAAATGAAAGTCAAACTATCAACCCATGTTTCCCCAGCAACAGCTGAGGTTTGTTCAGTCTTATAGATCCCTTTCCTTGGGCTCTTGAAAGGCTTGCCTACAGATGTGCACTTCAGGGTTGGCCAAGAATTTGAGGGTTGTTTATATGCAGATTTGGAGAATGTTTTCTCCTTATTTAGATTTATTTCCTAGATTTCCAATCACTTCATAAGCCTCAGTTCTGTCATCTCAAGTAGTATTCTGGGTTTTTGTTTGGGGTATTGTTGTCTACAAGAAACTTCATTTGACATGGATTTGTTCTTTAAAAAGGTTTCATCCCTTCTATTATATACATTTTCTTCTATTTTTTGTAAATATAGATTACACACACACACACACACACACACACACACACACACGTGTATGTTAGCACACACTTTTTTGAGCCATGCTACAGCCTATAAAAAAAAAGCTATTTTTCAGATAGGGTCTCATTTTTTGCCTGGATCTGGCTTTGAACCATGACTCTCCTTATGCCTCTTAATTAGGAGCATGTTGCATTATGCCTCTCTTGTTTAGATGAGTTTTACTAACTTGTTGCCCAGGCTGACCTTAAAATATGGTCTTGCTGATATCTACCTCCCAAATAGCTAGATCATAGTCATGAGCCACTATGCCTGTCTTGAATGTCTACTGGCTTTTCTTCTTGATCCTATTGTCCTTACCTGGCTGCATTATCAGTTACTTTCCAAGAGTTACTCTTGAGCCATTGTAAATAATTCCCATCAGGAAGTCGTTAAGGTGCTACTGTTTATCTAATCTGTTTACAAAAGATCTTTTATTTCTTCTCAAGTTAGCTGTAATGAGCTGTTTTTTTCATTCTTTCTTTTAATTTTCACCTGTCAAAGATGGCTTCTTTGGTAAGTAAGTGAAAAAAATATAAAAACAAAATTAAAAAGGTGGTAAAACCTAAGTTTGTATATTATTACATTCAGCAGATACAGATTTATTCTATCAAATTGTTCTAAACGTTTCTAAGATGTTTACTCTTAGATTCTGTGCTTATCATTTTGCAGATGGGTGATTTAAACAAAACAAAACACCAGCAAAAAATAACCAGTCCCTGGTTGTGTCACACAGGATGATATGTTGCGTAACACTAATCTTTTGAACGATTGTTCCAGCCTCATATCTCTGAGAAAATCCTTGTTGGGCAGCAGGGGGTTTTCATTTGTAACTGAGGGCTGACCAAGTCCAGAATGCTGAAATATCATAGGCAGTCTGGATTTGAAAGCTAGAAGACAGTTTGCATGCATATTTGATGTTCTTGGTACCACTCAAAGACCTGTTTCTCCTAGGTACTGATTCAGAGAAAAGAAGAAACAAGAATAAAAGTAAGAAACAAGATTAAAATTCTATTTAGATCAGTTTGAGTCCAAGGAAAAATTCAGTGACTTTTGTTTTGAGTTGTAGGTTATATAGATAATGGCTTATTTGAGATATTGATTTGTTGATATTATTGCTTCACACAATTATTTCTCTTTCTGATTATAGTCATCTTTATTGATCAGCGATTTATCCCAGATTCCCTTGCATATCAGAAACTGCTATGCTCAAATCTCTTATATAAAAGGATAATACTTTGAATCATCCCTAGATTACTTACTATACCTAATACAATGTAAATACTTATTATATTGTTCAGAGAATAATGGCAAGGTGAAACAGATGTGCACCTGTTCAGTACAGATGCAATATTTTTTCCCGTCATGGGGCTTGAACTCTGGGCCTGAGTGCTGTCCCTCGGCTCTTCAGTTCAAGGCTAGTGTCTACCACTTGAGCTATAATGCCACTTTCAGTTTTCTGGTGGTTTATTGGAGATGAGTTTTGCCCACTTTCCTGCCCGGACTGGCTTTGAACTGTTATCCTCAGATCTCAGCCTCCTGAGTAGCTAGGATTACAGGCATGAGCCACTGGCACCCAGCCAGATGCGATTTTTTTTTCTGAATGTTTCAGATCTGCAAGTTTGAATCCACAGATACATAACCTAAGGCTGTGAATGCCCCAACAGTACTTACTGACTCCTACACAAGATCTTGGGTGCTCTAGATCCGTTGTATTGTTATCACCACCTATGGGATAAGGAGAGCTAGGCTGCCACCATTAGTGAATAGCTTTATTTTTCTTTTCTCATAATAAAATATAGGTAAAGAAGGTCAAGTCATCTTCTATTTAAGATTGTGTCAAGATCAACAGATGGGACTTTGTGTTTTTACAAGGAAGGTGTTAGAGAGTCTCTGGGTACTGTAGTAGCTTTTGGTTAAATTGCTTATTGATAAATACACTGTACTATAATTCCTCTTGTTAAAGCCAGGGTTTGAATTAGTGGTATTACCATTTCATCCTGATTTCTGTCCTTCTTTACTAGTCTATTTTGTTACAACCTCTTAGAAAAAGAGGTTGTAAGAGAGAATTTTTTGGATAGTGATGGAGGAAGATGATGTTCCTGAACAAAAATATTTTGGTGATTGACCTAATTTTCTTGGCCACTGAAGATAACCAATTAATTAGTCATGAAATATTCATTCATGCCACTTGGACCAATACTGAGGATTGCTAAATTCTATCATCACATATTTCTGATAAATCCCAGAAACCCTTACTATATCAAAAATCTGTTGGTTGTGTATCAAACATTTGAGAAAATCATTCTCAGGAGTTTTGTTGAGTTAGCCTAAGCTTTTTATCACTATTGAAATAAAATCTTGAAGTGTTAACATAGTTACATGGGTGATAGGTTACTTAATCCACTTTGGCTATTACAAGGAAATACAATAAACTGGATGGCTTTCAAACCAGAAAAGTTTATCTCGAGTTCTGCAGACTTAAAAGTCTTAGACAAAGGTGCTAAGAGATAATGGTGTTCTTTTTTTAAAAAAATTATCTTCAAATAGTTACATAAGGAATTTCAATTCAACATGTCAGTTTATGAGTACACTCAGGATTTCCGAGAGTATGGCAAAGGAAAATAGAAATGGGTCCAACTTTTTCTAATGTAGTGCCTCATTTAATCTTTGCTATTTTTTCAAAATCAGAAATGGGGATTAATTATTTTGCCTTAGGTAAAGCTTACCTCAGGCATGCAACTGGGTTTTTGATTATAGATCTACTCAGGATATGATAGAATAAGTCCCTCTCGACTCCAGAGAT